TTTAAATCCGAGAGTTATGTGTACTGAAGAAAAGTGAATTAGACAGATAAGTCATCCTAGAATGTCTTGACATCAAAATTACACTGGGGAAACTTTCCTATAAACTGTTGTTTTCTATTGGCTATTGTCCAACCAATAGGTCTTGGGGGCGAATACAGCTCAGATTTGTACTCTTCGCCTTGATTTACCCCTTAGAAAGTCATTCTTCCTATAACTTGATTTCTATTGGTCACTGTTCAACCAATAGTATTTCGAGGCAAGTGGAGCACAGATTCAAGTTCTCCGCCCCAGAAAACCTTGAAGTACCATCTCGATGATCGAAAGATAGAGCTCTATTTGTGAATCAATTAGAGCATGGACAAAAACAGAACCTGTTGCCGTTTAATTATCTTTGTGATAGGTGAGTTAGCCTTCTCGTTCCTTTATGTTTTATATACCATTTTGCAGCTCGTGAAATTCTCTATCGAATGGTATATAATAGTTGGAGTTTTAATTGACTATGATGGGAAAAGTCTTTTACGGAAGCTGGGATGGATCGATTTTCGCATAGGAAGCCATAGGGAAAAATAACTATTTTTGCAATAACTCACGAATGGCTCGGCCGATCATGCTCAGCTTCGAACTTGACCGAGACATTGTTAAGACTAAACTGTGTAGAAAATTTCATCGTGATCTGACTCTCCTTTCAAAAGTTATCGTGTAAACGATCGGCCGGACGGCCACACTGACCGATTCTAGAGTGTACTCACTTTTTGAGTACACAAAAACGATGACGATTTTGGTATTGGAGGAGTTGTTTTAAGTCGATGATGCACCAAGTTATGACCTGAAACAAACGTAAATAACAAATATATGAATTTATTGACTCGCACGAAAAAGTAATATCATACCCAAATTATTAATACGAGGTAAATTAGCTAAAGCTTCTGCTGTCAATAATGCTTGTCGCACTTCTTGTTCAGCGATTTTTTGCAATGATGTTGTTCTATTTTCGGCTCCTTTACGCATTGCTTTACGTAAATTTCGTACTTCAGATACAGATGGATTTGGTAAATGTGTATGACTAGATAATTTTCCACCATAACGTAAAAATTGATTTTCAAGAGTCGTATGTACAAGCACACGACAATTTCTATTGGCACATCGTCAAAACTTAATTGTTCGATCTTTATTAAAATTTTTCAGTTGGAAATTGTAACCTTCAATAACTAACATTAAGCGTCGTTTATTCGATGTTGTTGTACTGATACTAGGTTTTGTTGAAGTAGTCATTGATGATGAATATACAAGTAATGATGAGGAGGATGAGGATGACGAACATTCAGTTGATGTTGAGGGTGATGTATCATCATCCATCATCGTTATATCTTCATACGACATTTTAAAAAAAATATTTTGTTTTATTTAATTGTTTTGTCTATAGGTATTAAGTAAACAACCAATCCCAGTCCTACAGTTTGTTTTCCTTTAAATTGGTTCATTCTGTACAGAAACAAATTCTTCAAATAAGAATTACATATATACTAAAATATACTTAGACTATAGCGTCATCTGTGTCCAAAACAGCATATATTCACGCAAGTAATAAATTAGTTAAACGAATATTTTTTTACATGAAGGACATTTCACCTCAGGAACATTTTTCAGAGGACACTTTACCTTAGGGACATTTTTTAAAGGGCACAAAGTTTGGAAACATTTGATCTCGGGACGAAAAACCAGGGATATTTCGTCAAGGACATTCTTGACTGTTATTGTTTTTTGAAGTGTTGTTTCGATTGAAAGAAAGAATCAATAACATTTTTTTCTTTCATTCTGACACAAAACGAAAACTCTGCTGGGTAGAAATTGAAGTATTACTCTTTTAAGTGCGTAGAGTTGTTTTTATTGATGAAAAGAAACGAAAAGTTTTTCTGTTTGTTATTGCATCATTGATTATAGGCACATGACGTAGTTTCTCTCACAGCCTGAGTCAGTGGGAAATTTCACAAAGTTCAAGTCGAATAAAAAATCTTTATTTCGAAATACAGAACTTTTTTCCAATACGAATGTTATAAATGTGAGCCTTAAGATTTATAATCATTCTTTCATTTGATCAAGTGTCAACAGCCAATACTCAAAGGTAAAGAGCGAAGCCAACTCTTCTCTTTTTAAGGTGAAAGACATTGTTTTCTTGCTAATATTCCTTCAAGAAAGTGGAATAAGGGCTTCAAGCTTCTACTTCAGAGGTTAGCTGCTCTTGAATTTTTATTCTCGTGTGATCTATTTGTTTGAAGAATAACTTACAATGGAGGTTTTTGTTTTGTCAGTTAAATCCCATAGACGCATTGAGGTCAAATGGAAGCTCTCACTGAGAAACTAACAGAGTTAAAATATTAGTGGTCATTAGCTTGCCTAGAGGGAGATATTCGATATTTAAGTTATGCATATCTATTACGGGGTCAAAGGTCATAGATTAACAATAAAGACCAGCGATTGATGAATGAACCCCCAAGCTCTATCGAACTCTTCATATAACAATCTAATGAATGAATCCTCCGCTCACCGAATACCAAAGAGTAAGAAACATATCTCATGCACAGAACCACAAAACAGAATATATGGAGTTGAACGACTGAAATAACAATATATCACACTAGCCAGAACCTCATGGAAACTGCACAGTTACATTTTTTAAGACTATCCTTTAATAGTCATGTAGTTAGATATGCGGTCTTTCCTTCTCTCTAACATGTTGGGTGTGAGGTTGTGAATATGGGTGTTTATTTATGGTATCTTAATTCACACCCGCACCCACACCCTGGATCTCCGTTCGGTACGAGCAAAACACAAACAAATATTGTATTGTCTCATATAAGAATACTTAGTTTCTACTTTTTAAAAATACTAAAGAAAAACCTTGCTGTATATAAATATCTACTATTTCAGACATTATACTACAGACAATCAGGTAACCATGAACATGACTCAATTTTTGTTGAATAAAAATAAGAAAGATTTAGCTGAAATAAGTGCCAAAATAAATGAAAATAAGTCTAGAGATCGATCATCAACGGTAAATGAAAAAAAAGATCGCAATATAAAAGCAAAGAACATAAAATTCATCTTTATATAAGTAGAATACTGAACCAGTTGCTGAATCAACTAGTGAACTCGAGGCACCAAATTCTGAATTATCTAAACAAGGTATTGCAAGTGACGGTTTTAAAAAGAATTGTGTCAAGTAATAGATTAACTCATACATTTTTTCTCTTCAAAATTAGAAGATGTTGTGAATAGCATACCTGAATCATGGTCAATAGAACAAGTAGCTCAATGGCTTTCATCAATCAATTTGGAAGAACATATTGAGAAGTTTCGAGGTAAGTTTTCTTCCACGTTTTTTATAAAACCTAAGAGTACCATGAAAATCTGTCTATGTAGTCGACGGCAAAAGTTTCGCCCGATTTGCAATGAATTTTTTATGTTACTTTTGACGTATGAGAATAGAATGCAACACATATACATATAGAGGAGTTCGAGATATTTCGGCAACGCATAGTAGTTTTATAAGAGTTTGCTTCTTCTTTGAGCAAAGTAAAAATATGTGAGTGAATCCATTTTTGGATGACTTGTTCAGAGATGAGATGGGTTGTATGATACGAGATCGAAATTTCGAGCTGATGGATTTCTAGTAAATGAATTACAATTCGAAACTTCGTGCTCAGTGTTCTTGGTAATGCCCGTTGACGGAGCATCACCAAAGCTCTTCCCTTTGAATGGTCAAAAATTATAAACTCGAACTCGCTTCACATGAACGATTTCATCTCTCAACAGATCATCCAAAAATGGATGTATTCACATGATTTTACTTTGCTCAAAGAGGAAGCAAACATTTATAAAACCATTATGCGCTGCGTAAATGTCTCGAACTCCTCTGTATATATATATGTGTTGTATTTTATTCTCATACGCCAAAAATAATATAAAAAATTCATTGCAAAACGGGCGAAACTTTTGTCGTCGACTATATGTATAACTTTTGATCCAAGATAGTATTTCTAACCGCAGAAATTTTCAATTTTCGTTGTTTCACGTAATTTAGTTTTTAAAAATAAAGTGATTATTTTACCAATCGTTTTAGAAAATGAAATTGATGGCTCATTACTAATGAGTGATGGCTTAGATGATACATTATTGAAAGAATTAATTCCTCCATTGAAGTATCGAATAATTTTCAATAATGAACGTAAGAAACTTAGGTAATTCTTTTCACATCATTAAACTTTCTCTTGTTGTATTTTGAGCAAAAAAATCTTGTTTTAGATCAAGACAACAGCAGAAATCGACAATATCAACAGCAAATACAACTGATATTCATGTTAAACTAAAATCAACCGACACATCTAAAATGGTAAAAGATAGAAGTTTAAGTTAAAGAAAGCACTCTTTTAAAGATTTGTTTTTTTATCTATTAGGAATTATTGTCGTCTAAAAACAATAACCAGTTTTTAGGTGCTAATGCCACAC